AAACTTTTTTAAAAAATGGGAAATCGCTGATAAAGGTAAATGTACCTGTAACTATTTTAATTTGCACTAAGAAAAACAGTGCCAATTACAAATTGTGCAGATGTAACAAAAAGCAGTTCTAATTTCTTCAGAGTATGATGAAGGAAGCAACACTAAGTTCAAGAAAGAAGACAACACTAATATACAGCTGATGCATTTTTTCAGCTTGACAGGTATGCCTCCCACCCTTTGTAGCCTAACCATGCACACATCTCCTCCTTCCTGGTTTGTACATAAATGTGATCTCTTGTTTAGATCCTATACTCGTCTCCACTCCTTTCATATGAATTTTCTGAACAGCAATGCATGAAACAATTAACACTAGTTACACTTCTCACCAAGAAGTGCTTAAGGGCTTGTGAAATAAGAGCTCAAGCAATTTTGACCTTAGCTGGTGGCTTAACTTTGGCATGCCCTCCCTCCTACCAAAATCCCATACACGGCTTGCTCTAACTGAGAAGAATTCCATGCTGGAATAAAGTCCTAACCAAGAAGCTTGACCTGTGTTGGTCTGACCAAATTTGGCTTGAGTTGCACAAGGGCATGAGGTGAGAGGAAAAAGTCAAGTACATGATTCCTGCAAGGAGATCTGCTTCCCTCTGCGTTAACCTTCACTGGATGCACAGTGACTCAGCTCACACCTGACCTTCTCCAAGGACAACACTCAGGGTCTATACCTGCTCCAAGCTACTGTCACACCGGCCCAAATCCTAACAAAAAGCTCCCAGCTGAGATGACCTGGTGGGTTGGCAGCCCACAGTGAGCCATCAGGGCCGAGCAGCCCCCAGGGAACCCAGCACACACAGCAGCCACCCCTGCCCCGGATGCAGCCTACCGTGCCTTTATCCTGAAGGCACATCATCAGAGTGCAGACGTCACCCGTCGCTTGGTGGTTCACCAGCACCATGGCTTCATCTTCTGACACTGCTTTAACATCATCACCCCATTCCATTACTATTAAAAATAAAAAAAAAAAAGGTACGTTTAACAATGAGCACACGGAAATTTTTCTGTCAACAAAAGAAAACAAAACGACCCCACACCCAGACTATAATGATAAAAAAACCTAAATGATACTTGTCAATTTAAACTGGCACATAGCATAAGGCAGGAATATTAGCAAGACTGTTTTTCCAAGCAGGGGGTATCCAGCTTAGTTTGAAATTGCATGCACAGAATAAGAACAAAACAAAAATACTCTACCAGAACATGTGCACAGAGATTGATCTTTTTGTGTCATTACACCATTCTATATTTAGGGTCTAAAAATTACATAAGCTTTTTGACCCAGCTTTCGTATTCATTTATCTCACCTCATTAGATTAAAAAGAAAATTATATTGTCAATTATATTATTGGGTTTTGCTGGCTGGGCTTGTTTGTTTTTTCTAAACTTAGCAAGCTTTTTTCATTTCTACACTCGCTATTATTATTCTACTCCAGTAAAAGCAAAACAAAAAAATCTGTATTTGGATCATTAGGTTTCAAATGCTACACTAAACAAACTCATTCATTCACATCTAAACGAGTTAGCTATAGGCAAGGAAGTGGGTTCAGAAAATGCTGTTCAGATGACAGAATCTATTAGTTAATATTTTGTAGACCACAGACCAGATGCTCCAGTGGCAAGAATGATGTCAGAAGGAAGATACAGTTGTTTATCATCCAACACACTATCAAAACCACACTGAGATACGGAAGAGGAGTTAAAATTGATAGTTCCATCATCGTGAAGTAACTAAGTGGAGAAAGAGAAGATTGCCTCCCAAAGAAGACAGGATGGGATACTAGGAAATGTGTGCTGTAAACTAAAGACCAGAATATGTCAAATGCTGCTACTGGGGCAAAGAGACAAGTGAGTAGAGTCTGTCTTTCTTCAGTGAGAGGGATGGACATTGCAGTGCAGGTAAAGGGAAAGGATGGACAGGCAGAGGAGCTCTATGAAGTCCCAAAAGAAAAATAAGATGCACTGCCCATGCATGTAGGATATAACTTTTTCTGTGTTGGTCCTGTACCATAAGTGGCTCCTATTGGCTGTTGTTTTCAGCTCTGACAACAAAGGAAATATTTCTCCTGCACTGCTGACTCTTTCGTACTGTTAAAAGTTCTTCAGGCAGTGAAAAACTCTCAGCACAGGCCGATTACTTTGCTATCTATCTTTTAATAGCTGGTTTAACTGATGCAAAGGTAATAGGCTATGCACAGAAGACAAGAAGCAATAATCCAAGCATAGCTCGTCCTTAAAGAAATCAGATAGCATCACACCTTTGAAAATTGCCACTTTATTACTTTCTAACAGCTCCAAAGTTAGTACTGAATTGAGACTTGAACACAAAATAAAAAAATAAAATGCTGTGTTTGGTCACAAGTAGATAACATCAGACTAGAGATATGAAGGTGAAGAGGACTACTCATTCCATTATGTTCAATCTCCTTTCCCTGGGAAAGCTAAGCACAGATCTTTCCTTATTTTTCTTACCATGAACTTGGAAGATCTCATTTATCCCTCCTCCTCACTATGTGCAAGTTCCCTGTGATGCCCTCTCTAACTCCATGAAAATTGGGAAACGCTTGGCCATGGCATCATAGTTGACTGCACACCTGCCTTACCAAGCATTTCACATATCTCACTATGGCAGTATCCTACATAACAAGAGACTAAGAAGAAATAAGAATTGTTTTAAAGTGAATCAACCACATACTGACTTTGAAATTATTACTTCAGTGTTTCTATTAAGCAGTCACTATATAATAGTCTTACTGAACTGTGGCTTTCTAAAAGTAATAAAAACTAAGTACTAGATATATCAAATATCTACAAAATCACTTTTCTCACAACTAGCTAATTGTTTCCAGACAAAACGACATTATTTCTAGATCACTCTGAGAAAATAAATGCATTCCTTTACTATAGATATTTCTCTGGAACATAGCAATTGAATACTAATAATTTAAACTGTAGAACAGTTTAAAATGAAGCTCTTCAAAAATGATTCAGAGATTTAACTGTACAATGGATTAAAATAAAGGTTATGACTGATAAACACAAGCCATGAGAAGCAGCATACAATTGAAAACAACTAAAGAGCACTTATGAAGCTTAATTTGCTATAAAAAAGTATACTTTTAACATACTAGGTGAAAACAAATGTCTGACTTTAAAACTTTGAGATAGGCCCAGTCGAAGAAATATAGGAAAAATAACTTCTCTCATTACTGATTTTATCTACTGCTGTTAAACACAAGAGGGTGTAAAACAAAAAAGCAGCTCACAATGCACTAAGATGTTTCAGCTGTGAAGCAGTAAAAAGGTGGGCTCTGTGATCCCACTCCAAATGCAAGGTAAAGAAAAATGAAGTTGGATTTAATTCTTCAACTGATTTACTACACTCAATTGTAGCTATCAGCCAGCCAGGCTAACAGCTCCGTTTCTGTGAGCTCTTCTGTCAGCTGACAGGTAGTGGGTTATCAAATCCCAGTGGATCAGCTCCAGCTTCTTCCCCTGTGCCATTCCTCCTCAGGCAATCAGGCTGTCTCTTGTGCTTAATAACGCTTTATGGTCAATTGATTGACCTGATTATCAAGGAGAAAAGAATCACTTTGTTCAAGTCCTTCACAGAGCATTTCTGGATTGAAAAGAGAACAGCAAACCACAAAAGTATACAGAAAAAACACTGCCCTTACTGCAGGTTTTTAAAGAAGAAAAACCCCAAACCCTCAAATCTCTAGAATTCTAAGTTCATGGTGTCCCTTGAAATTCAGCAAGGGGAAAGAAATGCTTGTCTTCAATTTTCTCCCCACACAAAGGAGAACCTTTTGCTTTAAGAAATACTTGCACTATTACATTCCTCCACTGCAGCTGGAAACACTGGAATCAAAACCTCAGCTGCATGGAAGGAGAACCAACAACACTCCTTTGCTCCACTGTAAGAAGACAAAAAAACAGCTCAAAGACAAATATCTGTCACTTGGGGGCCTGAGATCCAGCAAACTTTCCTCCACTGCTTTTTCTATTGCCAGAGCATATTTTTTAAAGACAGCAGTTCCGTGTCTACAGCGTGACAATAGTCAAGACTTCTGCAAATGCAGTTTAACATAGTAAAATAACATAAAGGGAGGAAAGAGCAGAAAATCATTTTAATGTGGCAAGACAGAAGTGACTTAATTGTAAGAGAGGCTTCACTTGTGACTTCAGGTTACGAGCAAAAGGCTTCACCAGAAAAGGATAAGTTTACTTGCAATTACATGAGCTCCAAGACAGAAATATTTATCCTTCTCTCATAAAAAGAAGTCCAAGATGTAGAACATCAAGAAAATATTTCATCTAATGAGCTGCAGATTTAGCTTTTTACAAGCTAATCCTTATAGAGCATAAAGAAAAGTAGTAATATATTTTTTCCATATTTTTACTGAACTATTACTAGCTGGTGAGAGTTCTCAGAACACTTGACTACTTTGCAATCATATCCTTAATGTAACCGTCTGCATGGAAGTAATGCTACAAATAAATATTCAAGCACTTTAATTACAATATGTCACTAGGCTCAGCAAAGGACTACCAACCTAACTAAAAATTCATTAGATTTATTTTATTTATTTCATAGTTTTGAATATACCTGGAAGAATGGCGATCTACTGATCTGTGCAACTGCCCAGATGCTAATATGAACACTACATTTTGCATACTGTATTTTAAAACTTTTAAAAATGCCCTGAAATTTTCAGCATGTCTTCTTTGTTATAGTCAGTAGTTTTACTACTGTGTGTGCCCTAAGAATTGGCATAGATCTCCTTGGCCTCATAACAACTTAAGTCCTAATTTATTAATTCAAAAGGCACAGTTTTAAAAAACTGACATTTTATAGCAAGGTCAGGGAATTGACCTTAATCATTCTAATCACAACTATTGAAACACAAATCACCAAAGAGGTACAGTATATGTAAACATGTGATTCATTTGGATATCCACTTTATTTCCTATTTAGACTTGAGTCCACACAATATTCACAACTTTCTCTAGAAACTTGGAGAAGAACTTCCACTGCATAACTTTCCACAGAGTCACTGAATGGCTGAGGTTGGAAGGCACCACAGCTGCTCATGCAGCCCAACCTCCCTGCTCAAGCAGGGTCATCCCAGAGCACACAGCACAGGATTGCATCCACACGGTTCGTGAATATTTCCAGTGAGGGAGACTCCACAACCTCTCTGGTCAATCTGTTCAAGTGTCTGGTCACAGCACTGTAATGAAATTATTCCTCATATTTGGGTGGAAATTCTTGTGCATCAGTTTATGCCTGCTGCCTCTTGTCCCAGCCTGGTCCATCCTCTGTCATCTCCCTTCAGACACCTAAGTAGATTGATGAGGTCTCCTCTCAGTCAACTCTCTCATCTTTTCCTCCTCAGAGAGCTGCTCCAGTCCCTGCATTATCTTTGTAGACCTCCACTGGACCAGCTCCAGTAGCTCCACATCTCTCTTGAACTCAGAAGCCCAGAACTGTACAAAGAAGAATGTGAGCAGAACTGAGGGGCAGGATCACCACTCTCAACCTGCTGGCAATGCTTTCCCTAATGCACCCCAGGCCACCTTCTTGGCACAAGGCACTGCTGGCTCAAGGACAGCTTGCTGTCCACCAGGACCTGCAGGTCATTCTAGGCAGAGCTGCTTTCCAGCAGGCCAGCTCCCAGACTGTGCTGCTGGTGCACAGGGTTATTCCTCCCCAGGTACAGGACCCTGCTTTTTCAGACCCATCCTGAGTTTATTTTCCCTTCTGATCACTTGCATCCATGTCACAAGATGAAAACTTGTTTCAAGAAGCTGGAGATTAGCAACTCTTAGAACTGAACAGAATCACCTTTACTGATCGCTTGGAAACCCTTAGCAACAAATAAACAGCATTACTGAGAAAGAGCCTTCCTCAAAAGCCACCCTGCTATCTAGCACAAAGAATGTCA